CTGGATTGGTTTTAGGAAGCAATGATAAATTGATATAAACATGTACTTCTATGGTTTCTTTAATTAAAAGAGAAAAAATTGTTGAATTTGGAACTCCTTTTGAAGTGTTTTGTCACTTTCAGTATAGAATGGCATCTTGAGGAACACTTCTGTGAACAAGCAGACAGTTGTTTATAGACTGTGCCAAATATTTTTCTATGAGATTAAGTGGAGAATGAGGGTTGAGGTCTGTTTTTTTTTTTTCTCGAATTATAAACAGAGGTACAACAATGTGTGTTTCTCACTTTAATGGAATTCCTTAAGTGACATTAACCTGAGTAATTTATTGCTTGAATCATAAAACTCTGGGAAGACAATAATTTTCATCATCCTGGAAACACCGATGCAGAATCACAGAGGGATGCTGAACTTCCGGCCAAGAGTTCTCCAATATCATGCAAGTCACTTGTCATATTTAGTGCCTCATTGTTATAACCTGAATTCTAAATATTTTCGCTATAACAATTTTCTTCTTGTATAGTTAAGAATAATTTACATTCTTGAGATCCCTAAAGTCAATTTCTTTTTTCAGCCGAAACTCTAATTACTCATAAAAGGTAAAATGTTTTCTTTCCCTGTGATATTGTTCTACAGGTTGTTAATGTTTTGCATTTGCAAATGCATAATGAGTTTCCCAGTTTCTTGGGTCATGTGAACTTCTTCCAATACTCATGTGTCTTAGCTATTGTAGGAGCCACCATTCAGAATACTTCCAAACTTTTTACATTATTGCAAATCTTTAAATGCCTCAGGCTGATGTAAAACAAGAAACAAAGCTTGGAATTTTTAAAGTCTTTTGTACCACTAAGGGTGTTTGTTATTGAGTATAAAAAATTCCTACATAATTCTATTAGTCAAATGATTTTGAAGATGGATGTTTATATACTGTTTTAAATAGCATTTTACAAGGTAAAAGAAGCAACCTTTCTCCTTTTACACTATTACAATTGTACCATATCTACCATTTTGGTTAACAATATAGAAAGCAATGCATTAATAAATTATTTACTACGAAACAGAAAGTAGTTAGGTTTCCTTCTAGTCACAGCATTTGCTCTGAATGGAAAGAGAGAAAAGGAGGCTTAAGAAGCAACTTTGAATTAGATACCTTGAAGGATTCATTATTGTCTAGTCATTTATCTTCCAGAGTTAAGACATTTGAGAATTCTGTGGTCATTCACTACTGGAGATAAGGAAGACCCCTACACCCTGACAACCACCAAGTGTTTTTGCAGATGGCCCCTGTCGGCCTTGCCTGTCTCCCTGTTTCCACAGTGTGTTGGGACCACTGTCCTGCCACTTTGACACCTCCTTGCCCCTCCACCATTTCTCTTCTCATAAACCTCTTATGAGGGTCTGCATAAATATTTGGCAGCACAGAAACACAGCTAGACATCTTAGGACATGTCTTGTCACAGAAATGATTGATACTTTATAGTATTAATGTTTTTGTAAATAAAACTAATTTTGTAGATAATAGAATTTTTTCTATTTATCATTTATTTCTTGACATTAAAATATAACAAGCACATAGTACAAAAAATGGTGCTACCAAATTAATGGCCTGCATCAATAGGAATGCCTTATACAATAATTTGTTATATAATAATTTAAGCAAAATTAACACTTTGTGTAACACAGAAACAACATTCACTACCTACAAGATGCAGAACCAGGTCCCTTTGGTGCAGAAACATGGTTGTCAGCAAGGGGGAAAACCTTAGCTATCATGTTACAGTTTCCTTAAATATCACCAGGTTCTGCGTGCATGCTGGCTTGCATGTCTGTTTCCATTTTTCTTCATGTGCCAGATCTGATCTAGTTCAAATTATATGCAGGCTAAATTCCATTTCTTTCCAAAGACTTCCAGTCATCTATAAACTCTTCCCCAGCCAGTCAGCGCCAGCTTGTTGCTAAATGGGCAAAGATCTGTGATATGCACCCGGGGAAAAGTAAACACCCTCGGAGCAGGCCAAAAACTGTGACCAACTCAAGTTTGACAGTTTTCATACTGGGATTTTTTCCATGGCTCCTGTAAATTATTGAGTGCTTAAAGCTAGTGCGTAATATACAAGTTTCTACATTGACCACTTTTTCCTGTATTTTTTTTCACATGTCAGATTGAACCTTCACATATAACTATAGTTTATTTATTAGCAAACTTAACAATAGTGACACTTCCCACCTTGCTTTAAAAGATGGAACTTAAAGCATACTATATCGAAAAAACATTGAATTAGTTTTGATGTAACAAAAATATATACAAGAAGTGATTAATTTTGCTTATAAAATATCAATTGGATGTAAGCTAAATGATATAGTGTTGTTTTCTAAATTCTTTCCTCTAAAAATAGTAAAAAAAAATCTTCAAAATAATTTTAAATCAAGACATTAATTAAAATGCTCTGAATTAATGGGACTTTGATTTATGAAAACCTACTTACAGCATTACTGTAATTATACTTCTAATAAGCTTGTTACTACGGTTAATCACAAAATCCTTTTGCTTTAAGCTATGCCACACTCAACCTTTGCAAAACAGTGTTTATGCTGAATGCGATTCTTTTGTACCGTGGACATGAGCAAGATGAGAGTCACAGCATTTCTGCACTTTTCTCAAAAATCCTTTTCAAATCTTGATGCCCTTTGTTGCATTAAGCCTCCCATGGCCAGAAGGATCTACTTTCCTTGCCTTGCTATTTTATAACTATGGACCGAAATTGTCCTAATATTCTAATATGTTGTTCAAGGTATGATGTTGTTGCTTTGTACTTGTTTTCTGTGTGCATCATCTACATGATCTATTTTTAAGAGAAATTGTAGCACTCTTGCCCAAGTATTTGATCATTCTTCAATAACCATAGACATAACTACTATTGTCTACCTATCCTATCATTCCTCAAAAGCCATAGAAGTAACCCCTTTCACGGCTATTGGTTTAACTTCATGAAAAAGACACATGAATTTAAAAACATAAAAAAAAAATACAAAGACCACATTCCTTTCTTTGTTTTCATGGTAACACTTCCCAGTTTAAAACTATTAAACTGGTCACAGAATTTCAAAGTGAAACACAGGATTCCACAATCAATTGCTTGGATCTTTCAAACAAACGTGGCTTTCAAATGAACTCTTGCTATAGTATTAGTGGAAACTCAAGTTCACCTAAATGTTTCCTTCAGCCTCATTCCAGAAGGATAATTATTGCTATTTGTCCACACTTATACATGGCTACTTTGGAATCTGCTATTCTTCTGTGTATGGTGGGGGTATTTATTTGTTTTCCCCCTTTAATTTGATTCACAGCATGTGTTAACTTTTTTCTTCTGCTTTTGCAACCTCAGATCCCCTCTCCTCTATTTCTACTCTTTCTCCCTCACAACACAGGATTTTCTGCACTGTAGTAGTCAATCTCTGTGAACTGTTTTCATGTCGTGACTGTTCATGACACCAGAACCAAGCAAGTGGGCCTTGATATTGCCAAGTGCCAGCTAACTTTTGTCTTTTGCAGTCTTCATATTTGGCACTTGGGCTGCCATAGACCTAACTGACTTGCATTAACTCCAGTGACTATATAGACCAGTGAATGATTTTCAGTTGTGCCCTGATTTGTTCACCTAAGACATGACTTTTGGAATAGTGGTGTAAGGCTGGAGAATGCACCCGCAGGACCCCCGCACCTGAGCACTTGGCTGGAGAGTGGAGCACGTGGAGTTCCTGTAGCCGAAGCTGCAGTTCTGGGGTCAGCAGTCGAGAGCGCAAGTGTCCTGGGTAAAGAAAGTCACAACTCCTGGTTTGGGGGAGGGCTTTTACTCATCAGTTCTGAAATGCCAAGTTTTTATCATCTGTGAATCATAATGGAAAACAAAAGAGACTGTTACAACTGTACCACTGTCTCAAATTATTTACATAAAATAAAAGCTCTCCTTTAAGAAGAAAACATTGGTCAGCCTTTCTAAAAATGAGTAATGAAGTCCACATTGAACGAGCAGGATGTACAGTAGAGGAGTCAAGAAAACAGCTGAAGGAACTAGGAGACAGCAAGAGGATGATGGGACCACAGAAAGGCAAAGGGTGAGAGCAAAGCAAAGCTAGTGATGATAAAAGCTGAAAATACAAAAACAGAAAGAACAAACCAAAAACCATGCTGGGCTCAGGTACAGTTGGGGGTCATCCACAGGCCCTCCTGCTGAGTGCCACTGAACCTGTAGAGAGCACACAGGAGGGAGGGATTCTACTCAGTTTCTCTGTGTGGTCCTCCGGGACACAGTGCAGTTATACACAGCTGCAAAGCTTCTGAATTTACTAACAATATGAGCTTCATAATCCTCAGAGCAAACTGACACATAGGAGTCAGCCTTTCCATGTTGCACTGAGCTCTGCCCTTGAATTACGTTTTCTGTGTTATATTAAGTCAGTTTTGTAATTCATAGATTTTTAAAAGATAATTTGAACATTCAAAAATGTTCCAGTTTTTAAAAATATAATAAGCCTATGAATGCCCTATTCTACTCAGTCAGTTAGTATATCCATGCCTTTAAAGAAGCATTTTAATGGAAAGGACTGTATTTTATAAATATGATGGTTTTCACTTTTAAAAGTTGCTACTTATGGGGAAAAGGTGAAATTTATTATCTGTACTCTTTTTCTAGGCTAGGTTCTGAAGCAAGGGATTGTAATGGCCCCAGAAAACAATACAGAATATGTGAGAATCCACCTTGTCCTGCAGGTTTGCCTGGATTCAGAGACTGGCAATGTCAGGCCTATAGTGTTAGAGCTTCGTACCCAAAGCATGCACTTCAGTGGCAAGCTGTCTTCGATGAAGGTATGACTACCAGCTGCATGCAAATTGTTTAATAATACTTACGTTGTTCTACAAATAATCTAATAGTCATTTGTAGACTTTGGTTTTGTTTTTCTGACTTTTCTGGCATATAACAACCAAAAACTAAACATGTATATATCCTAAATTAATGTTGAACAATGACTATACATCTATTGGAATAACTAAAATTAAAATAGAATGAATATATCATGAATTGGTAAAGATGGGAAGAAAGTGGAGATAACTAACACTGCTGATAGAAATATAAAATTGTGCAGGCACTCTGGAAAGTAGTTTGGAAGTCTCTAAAATAGATGGACATGCAATGAGTAATGTAGAAGTTGTTTGCTTGAGTGATGGAATACTATGCAACCAGTACTACTGAAAGATACAAAACTCAATGGATTTCAACGCATTGTGCCAAATGAAAAATGTCAGCCATATAAGGCCATGTGTTACAGTATGATCTATGGAGATAGCAGACTAAAATGGCAAAATTATAGAAAGGAAAGCCAATGATTGGTACCAGGGACTAGGGGTAGTGTTGGTGATTAATGTGGCAAGAGGCAAATCCATGAACTGCTGGAATACTCTAGTGTCCTGGCTGTGACAGGTGTACATGCACTCATACATTTGACAAAATGGCACAGAACAGCACACACAGCTAACAGTGAACTCTCATGCTTTACTATATATTTCACTATAACAACCAAGGTGCAGCACTTGAGGATCCTAACTAAGAAAAGTACATGGGTCGTTTGTAAACTACGTTTTGCAAACTGAAATAAATCTCCAATTATTTTAAAATGAGAATTTCAAGAAAATTATATGCTGCAGTGTTAGTCTAGGATGACAGCACTCCCCACAATGATCAAATGTGTGCTTGTGTGGCAGTGGACAAAAGTGGCAGTGAGTTCTCTGGATCCATCATGCTGCCAGGGTTTCCTTTACCTCATCTCCTTCTCAAGGTGGACTGTGATTTCCTGTGTTTCCTTAAGTCTGATTGGTGGCCCACACTCTGATGGCTCAGAGCTTCTTTAAGCTCAGTTCTCTCAGCTTAAGCACATGAGTATAATATAACAAAAAACAATGGAGAGGTACAGATTATTATACAACATAATGGAAAAAAATAGCAATCAGACTACCTCTAGGTTCTCACTGTCACACACTTAGGCTTAGCTCTTTCCACAGACACTCACTCCAGGGTTTTAATTCCTCTTGCCAGAGCTAGTCTCTCCAGCTGCATCCATGATGCCACCCTCTTCTCCCTTCCTTTACCTTAGTGATCAGCTCAACTTTGATATATTTAAGTCCCTCTGAGTTTGGTGACTTATGATCAATTATTAAGATATGTAGGCCTTTCCCATGAAAACCACACAGAACTTCCCTCCGGTGCACGGCCCCCTTGAGATGTGGGCCTACTCTCCCCTTTTACAGTCCTCTGCTTTCTTACCTCCAATATGGACTCACCTAAGGCAAATACTGGTAATTTTCTTGAATAGTCTCATGAAAATTAAGGTTTGTATATGATTTACTGTCCTATTTTTTACCTGAAACATCAAACAAGTGATCAGTCCTTGTCCATCTGAATATTTGTGTCTTGGATTCCATGACTCAGCAGAAATCTGGCTTCCCTACTGTGTCTCTACTGTTGTCTCCTCTGACTATTAGAGATGTTCGATACTCTCAAGACATCTTCTTCCTGGGTAGACTATCATAACCAAGAGTTCAAATATGCAAATAACTCATCAAGTTATATCTTTGGTCAGATTTTTCCTTTGAGTTTCAAATTGATGTCTACAATGAATTGGTTGATATCTCTACATAAACAACTTGGACCTTCTTAACTCTTCCTGTCCATTCCCACTGGTTCCATTTAATGAACACACACACTGTTTCAGCTACACAAACTTAATTGCCTGATTTTTAAGGATTTTTGTAGCCCCCTTAAACTTCTTCCTACCTTACATTCATCATTCCTTTTTGCAGTTCCAGTATAAGCAAGAACAAATTCCATACCATCCACAAATATATATAATGTTTATGTATTTTCAAGCCCTTAGACAAGGGAGTTTTTTTTAGCATTATACCTTTTTATTCTCAAGCTTTAATCTCCCTTTTTGTATACCTTGAAACCTCATGATTTGGGATGGGAAATTCAGTTTATGCTAATCCTGTAGGAAACAAGAATTCCTGATTGTTGGCTATATATCCTTTCCAAGCATCCCACAAGCGTCATGTAATATCAGACTTCATCTCTATTCCCTCTAATGTCTGTTTGAAGTATAGTAATGGTATAGTAATTGCTATATATCAAACTTCTAATAAATTTTATTGCATAAATTTGTGCACATTTTCAATATCTTCTAATTATAAAGGTTTAGTCAATATGACCATTCACCTTTTTTTCATTTGTGGGATAATCCAGTCATCACCTCTAACTGGCTGAAGGATTAGTAAAACGTACATTCATTTGAAACCAATTTACTCATATGGAATAAGGGAGCACAATAGGTTTCCTTTAGATTAAAGGAAAGTTAGGCAGAATGGGCATCAATGTAATATTGCACGAAATCACAGTAAAGTTCCCTTACCGGGCAAAAGCCTGATGACATGAGTTTGATCTCTACAGCACATGTTCGAAGGAGAGCCAGACTCTGAAATGCTGCTCTCCACCTTACATACACACATCAAGGGTGAATAAAAATATTTACAAGAATGAAGGAAAGAAAGCCTGGTTTATAGCATCATTTTATCATCAGTGAATTATACCATTTACACAATCAATAGATAAGGATTTTAAAATTAAATTTATAGTTAAATGATTCATAAAACAGAATATTGTACATTTTATATGTTAACATCAATATTTTTGTAATACAGTGCAGTATTCAAATCAAATATGTTTATCTCCTTGAAAAGTTACCTCTTCTTTATGCTGAAATTGTCAACTGTTTTACTCTTACCTTAGGAAATGTGTGGTACATTCTGTTGTCACATAGTCTGTAGAGGCAGTACACCAGAACTCCTTAGCACCCACTGACAGAGTTTCCCTCTGCATCTTGCCCCTGTCTCCCGAGACTCTGGTAATCACATTCGATGTTCAACATCTATGAGATCAACTTTTATATTTAAAGATGAGTGAGGTCATGTGATATTTATCTTTCTCACATGGATTATATCACATAACATGATAGTCTTAAATGCCATTCATTGTGCTGAAAAGGACAGGACATCAGTCTTTTTAGCATTATGGAGCACATTGCCCTTATCTACGCAGACACTGATACACAGTTTATTTCCTTTTCTCCATCATTGTAAAGATTACTGCAATGATTTTGAATCCCTCTTTCCCACAATGACTTAGTTTCCTCTCACTACATGCTGGATCATGTAGAAGTTCATTCAACTTTTCAGTGAGCAGCCTTACTACACCCATCCAATTAAGTGTAAAATTCCCTTTTCTCTACATTCAATTCCATACGTGACCTCTTTAGACTTTTTGGAAACGATCCTTCTTACTAGAGTGAGGTGGTATTTCATTGTGGTTTTGAATTGCATATTTTTAACCACTTTACAACATGGATCAATTGAGTTCATTAGTCTGTATGATCAATAATATACATACCAATAACTAGTCTTCATATCACACTATGGGAGAAAATGAAGTATATGATTTCATAAAGCATATACAAGTTCAAATTCTTGATAATACATCATATCATATAATATAGAGGGTACCGTCTGTTATTCCTTTATGATAAGGATAAATGGGTATAGGATCTTATTGAGGTAGCAAACATTCCTTGGTATATAAAAGAGCAATGTGTGGCTTTAGTGTTTCTGTAACTACATCCTCTATGAGTGATGAAGCCCTGCTGATTATCTATAGGCAGTGTGCACCTTGGAGATTGATGTTCCTTTAAATCAAGCCTTAGCACCTGCCTGTCAAGTACTGGCATGTTTCAGGGATCACCTTAGTGTCAAAGTCTCCAGTGTATTCTCTGGGAAGAAAGACTGGGATCAAAGATTTATGACATCTATAAAGTTTACTTATGGAAATTGTATGAACAGTATGTTACAAAAGGAAAATTACCAAGATTTTTTTTTCATCAGACTTCTTGTTTGGAATATGAGTGGAAATGTCATGAGGGCTGACTCCTTTCAACTCGAGTATCTGGTGTGCTTCTGTCTTCAATGAAAAGTCTAGAAAGAGAATTACATATACCACTTTTAAAGTGTTGCAGTTATAGCAGCTGCTTTTAAGTCCAAAGATCTGACACAGTAAGCAATCACTGTATAAGCACACTTTACTTTGAGGTGTGAGAGCACACTGAACTGCTTTATAGAGGCTTCTAATGGCATCTTAAAGGAAAATTTCAAAACCATGCACTTTAAAGGCTATATTCCAATTCCCCAAAATTGTTCAGGAGCCACATGTGAAAACTGTTTGAAATGTTCAGTTTTGAAGGCTCATTTAACTGTCTGTCTTCTCTTTGCAAAGTGATACCCTGTTCCATGCCTCTGGCTGTTATTTGGTATTTATAGGATACCATCAGCACACGTGGAACTTTACTGAAGACACAAGAGCCGTGTCAAGGGCTGTAAACTATTTTCCATCCTATTTATACAAGTTTAATAAGCAGTAAAGGGCTGGCTGGTGTCGAGCCAGGGGAGAAGTAATGTAGCATAGAGGCTGTTCTGGTTTCAGATTTGATTATCTGCACTGTTGGTGTCACCAATACTTCAGATCCTTCATAAAAGGATTCAAAATAGAAACACTTTTTAAAAAATGATGCCACTTTTGAGACTAAGAGGCAAGTGCTTGAAATCCAGCCCTCCTACTTCATGCTAAGTGAGACATTGAGGATGAATGCCAGCAGCTCAAGGGTTCCTGACTGTGAATCAGTGGCTCCCAGCCTGGACATTAGGCATCCTGACATGGTTTGTTTGTAAGCAGGGAAGGGATTGAGTCCACAAGCCCATCAGCATTGTGCCCCCTACACAATCACTTGTTGTTTCCGAGGGAAAAAAAAAAAACAGAATAAAGAGAATCTGCTGACAATTGTTTTTTCTGCTTTAGTAATTTTCTAAAGGATGTCTATAAACATTAAATATTACTATGCTAAAATATGTAAGTGAGAAACATCAGAAGAACTTCATGTATAAATATTAATCAGAATTTTTAAGTGAGCAGAACCCTGGTGTGTGCTTAGAGTAAGGAAGCTATCATCCCAAAATATAGGGACAAAAATTGGGATGGACCAAATATATTTCAGGAAAATGGTTGTTTTCTTTTCTGTCGTTTTGTGCCAGAAAACATACATCTGAAAATCATTTGAATCCTGATTCCTTCAGGTAGAGATTAACACACACTGGGTGCTTCCAAAGAAAACATGGCATCTAATATGATAAGCCTCTGGTATGGATCTATTTTAATGTTGTATTGCTCAGTGAGCATTGAATTGTATTTTTACCTATTATGGAAAAAAATAGAGCTTAAGATTAAAAAAATTGACAAGTCAATGTCTTTCTTCTTTTATCCACTTTGTTGTAGGAAAACCATGCGCCTTGTTTTGCTCTCCTGTTGGAAAGGAGCAGTCAGTCCTTCTGTCAGAAAAGGTGATGGATGGAACTTCCTGTGGATACCAGGGGTTAGATGTATGTGCAAATGGCAGGTGCCAGGTAAGATATCCCCAAAGCAAGACTCTATGTGCTGTAGTGACACTATGGGCCATTGGGAAGCCTCATCACATGGTGAAACACTTTGGCCAGAGAATCAGGAGGATTGGGTGGTTCAGACATGACTGGGATGGTAACTTAAAATGCCACATCTCCACTTGTATAAAGATGAGTGAGAACTAGGGGACCCACAAATCCTATTGCAACTGAAAGAATCGGTGATTTTTAAGACATAGACACAGATCTCATTCTTAAAATTGGAACCCTTATGTATCAGAGTGTTCCAGAACAAAGAGTCAAACACTTTAATTTTCCAGTTCTCTCCTCTCCTGAGACAGGAGCCACAAACCATTAAAAATCAGTCATGCTTGTCATATTCAAATATTTACCAACATAATAGAATCAATCATTTTTCAAATGCATCCTCTCTTTTTAATAGTATTTATTGTATTTTGTTTGCTCCTAAAATGTTCATTTACATGAACTTGTGTGCTGTTTTCCATCAGTCTTTAGAAATAGATCTTCTGTCAATGAGCATGAATAGATCAGTGGAAAGATCAAAAGCTGTAATGGGAAATTTTCCTCATAACTCTGACATTATATTAGGTTGGCTTTCATTGGAAGATTCGAAAGGACTGGACACAAGGGAAATGCTGACCCCATAGGGACTTCTTATGGCTGGCTTTTCAGAGGTGTCTGTCTTGGGACTGAGAAGAGAGACCTTTCTCTATTAAGTGGTGTGTGTGTGTGTGTGTGTGTGTGTGTGTGTGTGTGTGTGTGTGTGTGTGTTCAAGCAGCCCTTGGAAGTAAATGTGACCTAGTGACAATGGGGGTTAGTTTATTCGTGAGTTTGTTGCTATGTTTTCCTAGGCAATTTCTAATGTGTTTTCTAGAAATGGGAGATAAATGAGAGAATTAGCTGAGTGTAACAGTACTGAAGCTACAACATCTCTTAGGGAACCATGTTCTCAGACAAATCATACACACTATACACACATGTATTAAGTCATCTGAAAATTTACTTGTTAGAAAAGTGGCCAGTAAATTTGTTCTATATAGTTGTCTGAAAACTGCATAAAGATTCCCTCAACCCTACCACTGAGAAAATATTTAAGCTTTGCATGGATCTATCAGTGACCCACTACAGGCATTAGATTTATAGTTAGAAACTGGAACCTCATACAACTTGAGTACTCCACAGTTTCAACATTCTGCACTCTGCTGTGATGCTGTAAAGTTTAACACTGAGCTATGTGTTAAACACACATCAACAGAATATGACAGTGATTTGAAAAATCTCCACTGATAATTGACTTTATACATATTTTGCTTCAGAATTATATATTATATAATTAAACTTTTTTATTGAAATTCATTAATTACTACTCATATTTACATATCCATCCCCCATTCCCTCACCCTCCCATTCTCACATGTTCCCCACCAAACCCCCAACCCCCTCCAATAGGGACCTTCAAAGTCTGTCATATCATTTGGGAGAGGGCCTAGGCCCTCCTTGCTGTATCTGGGCTGCAATAGTATCCCTCTTTAGGGAATGGGCTCCCAAAGTCCATTTGTGCTCTAGGGTTAAAGACTGGCTCCACTAAGAATCCAAGCAATGGTGGAGAAAATGCCATTGATGCCCTTCCCCTATAATGAGATTGGTGTCTACCTTGGTTACCATTCCTGGAGCCTTCATACAGTAGCTGTTTGAAGCAGAAACAGGCACCCACAGCTAATCACTGAACCATACTCCTGGAATCCAATTGTGGAAATGGAGGAGGGATGAGCAAAGGAGCCAAGATGGTGCTGCAGAAACCCACAGAAACAGTTGACCTAACCTAGTGAGAGCATGGAGACTCTAGTCATAAAGCTGGGGAAACAGCATTGGACTGAACCAAGCCCTCTGAATGTGGGTGCCAGCAGGAGGCCAAGACAGTCTAAGGGACCTCTAATAATTAAACTTGTAATTTTATTTCATTGTGACATGAATCTGTCTGGTTAGTGTATTTGTAAGTGGATTTATTTTTTATATTAATATTCATAATTAATTGTATGGGTCAGATATAATAGCCTGATAAGCTATGATTGTCATGTCACAGTGCTGTAGATCCCTGATATTTTACATAGCCTTGTGCTAGACATTAAAATTATGCCAACAAAAACTACACAGATGCTCCCATAAATCTGTATTATAATTTGAGTAAAATTCTCTGAAATGGCATGTGACTTCTGTCTGCATCAGAATATGTCAAGATTCCATTTTTTGTTTATTAAAATGCATCATTTGGTCAAAGAATGATAAAAAAAACATGCAGAATTTCCTGACAGTGCTCTGAAAACTGGGAATTCGATTAGCTTGCTTTGTTTTTAACCTCAAATGTATAATCACAAACCTGACTCTGGAAATGTAAAGATGATGAATACAAAGCTCCAATGGGTGTTTCATGGGGAAGCCTGTTTAGCTCAGTAGAATTTCTGGTTTTGCAAAAATAAGTGTTGGCCTAGTCATGTAATCATTTGCTCACAATCAACTCACCAGGGGTATTTAAAGTGCCTGCCTCTGGTGAAAGGGCATGGCCTTCCTAAGCCATTCTGCTTTCAGGTTCATGTGAACATACTGAGACTACCAGTTATAAAACACAAAGACTTCAATTTTCACTGCTTAAGTATTTGATTATCTTATTGCTGCTATCCAGATACACTTGAATCTTCATCCTACATTTTTCCATTTAAACACAAAGGACTGCTTGTTTTCTTAGCCAGCACCCAGGTGTTCCTGACTCCTGCTAAGTGACCTCCACATATGTTGTATTTGAAGCACTTCCTCTGATGGTCACTTCTGAAATAAGCTTGACTGGCTGACCAAAGCCTGGCACTTTCCAGTACTCTATGCTTTGACACTGCTGGGCACTCTGCCAGGGGGAAGACATGCTTCCATATGCTGCATTCATGTGCCCTTTGCTTTCTCTGAATACTCATACCTTCGCTGGTTTTGTTTTTTGTTTGTTTGTTTGTTTTATCTGCTTGCCATAGCCTAAAACAAATCCTTGGTTTTGACTCCAATTTTTATACTTAAAAATTTCCCATATATAAAGGTCACTTGTCACGTATTAGTTTATCGGTCTCTCATTCAAACACTTTCTATGAAAGAGGGTCCCTCAGTGGCTTTCTTAAAGGACCGATAGACTAAATTTGTCTTGATGTATGTATACTCAACTGGGGAAAGCAGGATCATGTCTTCTTAGTTGCAGTGAAGGGCAGTATTTCAATAGGAAATAGTAAATTAATTTGGTCTCAGCTGTCTGTGGACAGAATAGTTCTAGGAACGTATTAAAATGAGTTTTTCAAAAACTCACACTTACTTTTGTCATCCATGTTTGCAAGTTCCTATACTCACTTCACTTAGGAAGTGAGGCCACTCATGCAGTGGAATTCAGCCACTCAGTAGCATGAGTGTGTGGATCAGAACATAAGTCCTTCTGTTTTCTTCAATAATTCCATTTTCTTCAATAATTGTTTCCTTTTTCAAAACTACTTTGGGATATCATTAGGTATTTACTATAAGGAAAATATTATTGCCACTATTTACAATTTAGCCAATTTGCCAGTTTAATTATTTGACATGAGTTTGTGGTGTTATTTGCCTTGCAGAATGTCGCAGTTTGGTAGTTTGCCGCTCAGGGACCTGACTTTTAGAGATAAAGCTCATCCTAAGTCAATGGTTTAATAAAGGGAGGAAGGAAACAACTCAAATTTTTACAAAAGTATTTCAATTTTCATTTTGTTACTGATTGTGAATTGCATGCATGCATATAATGTATTTTTATAAAAATTCATACCATGTTTCCTCCTTCCCAGTCTCTCCTTTATCTGCCTACCATTATTCCTTCCTAATTTCATATGTTCTATTTTAAACACTGCATCCACTTAGTGTTGCCAGGATGTGCATGGGTGTAGGGTCGTTTACTGGCCAATAGGTAGCTTCCCAAGGGCCATATCCCTAAAGGAAAGCACTTTTCCCTCCCCAGAATCATATATCAGTTGCTAATATTTCTTCATTTGGGGTACAATTTCATGAGCATCTCTGCTACCCATGCTGGGATTTTGTCTTGCTTGATTTTATACAGTCACAGCTGCTATGATTTGGTATATGCAACTAACCTGCCATGTCCTGAAAGCATTTCTTTTTCTGGAATTATCCATTATGGTTCTTTCCACTTCCTCTTTTCTTATGATTGTTGAGCCTTGGGAGGATGACATGGGCACATTACATCATCTACTACTGTAAAAGAATTGTCTCTGATGGAGGTTGAGAGATGCACTACTCTGTGGTTACAAAGATAAGAACTTAACACGATGTCCATTTACCAGAGTAATAATAATAGGTTCTCTCCTTGGGACTATAACTTATTCAGCCTCGGGTTCTTGGTCTTGTTAATGGTGGTACACATAAATTCTGTTTCACAGGGTAGTCCTTAAAATCTGAAGCCATTGGTTATGCCCTTAAAATTTTGCCACTATTGTACCAATGGTTTTGTTTTGCCAGACACTAGAACTGTAGATTTCAGTGTTCACACTCGGATAAGACTGTTGATTACTTTACTTCCTTGGTGCCATGCATAGCACCCTCTGTGCAATGAATGTTACAGAGTAGAGGTGACACTTCCTTATGGACAGCAGCTGGATTTTTTCCTGTTCTATGACTCAAGAATGGCAATAGAATGTAATGTTTAGGGCATGAAAGTGACCAAATTCTTGGAAAGAGGTAGCTCATACTTACCACTGAGCTTTGTTTTTTTTTTCTTAATTATTAGGTAGCCTATAGCATCTGGAAAGCAGTATTCCCCCCATTATAGGGTAATTCCATTTAAACTCCTCTTATATAGTAACAAATGTGTGTTTTAGGAAGATTTATCCTATTAGGTGTCTACATGCCTTTGAAGGTCTTTGGTGCTATCCTTCCCTCTCTCTAGATAGCTACTCCTCAACCATTCCCTCCT